CATACCAGAGATACTAAAACATTAGAGAAAACATTAAAATTTCTCTTTGAGCCAGAACCTGCCCAATACCATGAGTTAATTACTTAAAATAATAATGAGAGCACATTTGAGGCCTGTAAGCAGGAAAATGTATTCAGGAGCATGGTTTGCTCTGTTTTATGTCTTTTTTAAAATGAAGTGTATTAATAATGACAGATGAAGCAGAGCTTGCAGGAGATGTGCCAGAGGTGTGGTGACAGCCTGGTATTCACAATAGATGTATTGGTGTGCTTCAGGCATCTGTTTTATATACTACACATTTTCAAAACTAGTAATACAGCATCATTCCTTACATTTTACTGAATCTTGTAAGATGAATTTATCCCACCAGAAATTTGAGGTGGAACGCCCGTTTATATAATGGAATGCCAAAATTCAGAGTAAGGAGAATTTTCAGCAAAGGTTGAATTGTGCCTATTAGCAGGAACAAATATGTTACTGTCATCCTTCCCTAATTCCCCAATACCATATACATAACTGATTTACTATAAATGTACATATTCAATTATTCTTCTGCTAATGTAACTTAGTTACTTCTCACAAAGTAGGACTCTCAGATTCCCTTTAGATTAGCTAATTTTAGTATATATAAGCTACATCAAGAAACAAGAGTGTCGCATCAATTCTAATTAGAAAGTTGGGGTTAGATATTTCTTAACAATCTGCAATTACTTCATCACTTTAGGTAACACGGCTATCATTGTAAATTTAAGTGTTCAATAAGAGGAAAGGATGGGTGGGCAGGAAACATGATCTGTAGCTTACAAAACAGATCCTTGGCAATAAAATAAGATAAAATAAAATGTTTTAAAAATCACACATTTAGCAAGAAGGTACAAGGTTCCAAGACTCAGTTGAGCAAAATAATTTAGATAAGCAAGTTGGAAGTGTGAAGATATTGATCTGATATTCAATATTTCACAGTCTGCATGTTAACTAAATATTTTTGGATGAAGACAGTATTTATGTAAGAAAGCTCTACATTATAAATACTCTTAAAACTTTTAATGCCAGAGTATAGGCAAGTATAGGATATTTTTGCTTTGAAAAATTAGTAAAATAGTACATTTACCAGTAATAGTTTAGTGTGGGCTTTTAAAAGACCTAAATATCTGAATATTTTGCCATTTTTGAACAACTACTCAACCCCACCCAGTACAAAATCTGAAAAATCTAATTTATGCTAGAATATCATATTCAATGGGACTGGATAATAGATTCCATTACTAGGAATCTTTAAAAGTTATACAGGGTGCTGCATGCATAATATGAACCTACGGGTTCATATTAAGAACTGGCTTAGTTCTTAAAAGTGATACTATCATCATTTGATCAAGTCATGTATTAGATTTCAAGAGTTAATGCAATTTATGTTTTTATTGTAATTTTATGGTGTACCAATTCTGCCCTTTAAAAAAGGTTAAATTTTTCAAAAAGTTAAAGACCTAACTATAAGCCACCTAACATTTTATAAAGTTAAAAACACAAATCTTATCACTATTCATATATTTTCAACTTTCTGTAGCACATTAAAAATGTAAAAATTAGAACTAGGACTTTTGGGAAGAGAAGAAAGCTGTATGTATATGTATTCACACACACATGTATACATATATGTATATATATATATGTGTGTGTATATACATATGTATATATGTTTAAATCTACATTTAGATTATACCTTGCCTTCTGAAATTTGGTTTAAACTCTGATTTGTAACTTTTCAGTACTACTACAATAGCATACACATACAAAAACATAGTTCTATATCTGTTACTGTGGAAATATAACAATCACACATTTAGGTATATGGTATCAGCAGAGAAAAAGAACAGAGGGAGCAAGCGTACAATAGAATGGGAGAGAGAGACCCTCACTGTTATTATACTCAGCAACTCAGTTACTCAATGACCATGTAACTTTAGTAAGCATGATCCAGGTCTACCAAACCCACCTCGGGATAATGAAATATTATTGGCAAATGACATGTATAATCCAGATACTTTATGAATTGTTTAAGAAATTTTTCAAAGTTTATTTTGTCTAAGCATTATTTTCATTTTAGGTACACATTTTGAAGCTACACTCTTCAATTACACAAATCCACAGTACAAAATCAATGTTTTATTAAATATAGAATAGTCAAATGTCTATAAGTAATTGTATTATATATGTGTATAAAAATAACATATGTATATTTTGAACTAAAAGCACTACAGTATAAAAATACTTGTTAAAGTTTAGCTGGAGAAATTAATTTTTTAAAATCTGCCCACATATAGGTCATATTGTTTGAAAAGACTGTGTGAGCTTAATGGATTTGCAAAAGAAATAATCAAAAGAAAGTTTCTCTGAGTAAACTTGGATATGTCTTATTTTATAGTGTCTAAATTGAAATATAACTTGTAAATTAAAATTTTTATTTACCTATCAGAATATGAACCAACAAATTATTTAACACTATGTTAAATCTTCATTTGTTTAAGATAATCACAGTTTTGTTCCCTAAATTCGCAAATAAATTCCCCCTGTTGCCATGGGTGGAATACATGGTTGGTGATTATTTTTTCCCTTGTCTTTCCAAACCTATCCAAAACTCTGAAGAGATATTATTTGAATGGAGTAATGTGAATTGTAAAACATTTCCCCAAGTTAAAATCCTTATCAAGCAACTTTAACTTTTGAGTAAAATCTAACCAATTAAAGCTATGAAGTCGAATGTTATGAATCAGAATCACTGATGCATATTTTATTTCCCCAGTGCATTAAGTATAAAAATTTTGTGAACAAAATAACAAAAGAGTGTTTGAGAACCTTAGGGTCATACTCCAGTTTCAGTCTCACTGTGAATTTAAGGAGAACTTCAATAATATGTCTACAATGTAACTATTATTTCTATAAAGCCTTCATATTTTGTTAGAAAACTGTATTTGTATTAGAATTTAAAAATACTCATAAGCCTGTCTATCCTTCCCAAATATTTTTTTTCAAAATGTCATTTGGTGGTTCACGTTTACGAGACCAAGTGTCTAAATTTTTTATCACATCAAGACCTATAATGTCATTATAATTTGACTCATAGCATGAATGAGAAATATTGTGATGGTGCTTAGAATAGTGAAGGACACATAACAAAAACTTCACTACTGGCAACTTTCTCTCTCTCTTAAAAGTTTATTCAGTTCAATACCTGAAAAAGGGAGTTTGACATTTGGTGTTTCACATTCATGAGACCAAGTTTTGCCCCATAATAATTTATATATTTTCTTCTTCTCTGCAATGTATTTTTGTAGTTTTCATTCCTGTAGCAAAATCATGTATCTTGTCATTGAACTCCTTGATATTTATTCACAGTTAATTGAAATATCATGTAAGATAATTTCAATATCCCAGCCGCTTATGATCAGTTTCTGGTGTATATTTTTAACTTGATTATGATAAAATCTTTTTTTTTGCATGGTAATTAATGTAGGGGCAAATTTGGCAGATTTAATAAAACATAGAGATTATCTGGCCCTCTAAATTATGATATATTTCTCCCAAGTATGTGTATGTTTGCTTCCAGCAGGCATGCCAGTAAGACTTGAGCCTCTGTGTATATTTACTGCTTTGGGTACTGTTTGATACTGCCAAACACACATACACACTCTTATTTATTTACTTATTAAACCAGTTTTCTAATTGTTCTCAGTGGAAAGACTGATCTTTTTTTTTAAGGTGTTAGGATTATTTTTATTATTTAGTATTTGTGGTATAAACTGAACCCCACTGAAATAGAGCTTATTTTGAGATATCTATATCTATCTCTCTCTCTATATATATAGATATATAGATGGTAATTCTATATATATATATATATATATATATGTGTGTGTGTGTGTGTGTGTGTGTGTGTGTGTATAATTGTACTTTAGGTTCTGAAGTACATGTGCAGATCAAAAAGGATTGTTGCATAGGTACAAACATGGCGATGTGGTTTGCTGCCTCTATCCCCCGTCACCTATATCTGGCATTTCTCCCCATGTTATCCCTCCCCAACCTCCTTATCCCCTGCTGCCCCTCCCCTATCCCCCCAACAGTCCCCAGTGTGTGATGCTCCCCTCCCTGTGTCCATCTTTTCTCATTGTTCAACACCCACCTATGACTGAGAACATGTGGCGTTTGATTTTCTGTTCTTGTGTCAGGTTGCTGAGAATGATGGTTTCCAGATTCATCCATGTCTCTACAAAGGATATGAACGCATCATTTTTAATGACTGCATAGTATTCCATGGGGTATATGTGCCACATTTTCCTTTTCCAGTCTATCATAGATGGGCTTTTGGGTTGGTTCCAGGTCTTTGCTATTGTAAACAGTGCCATAATGAACATGCAAATCTTGATAGAAAGTGCTTTCAAAAATTATAGTGTACAAAACTGAAAATAATATTATGACTAAAATCAAGTTCTGTGAATTGATTCTTATTTTTCTTACATCTAGTCTTAAGGATGTTTGGTTCAAAGACCAAACCTAAAAATTACTTTATTGCAAACTCTAAAAGTTACTTCCCTTGAGTTGTTTTATCAACTCTTTCTTTATATTTCTAATTTGTGATCCTTTCTTCATTAAAAAAGTATCTGAAGATCAATAAGTAGCTATATAGTTATGGCTTTCTTTTTTTTTTCCTAGGGCTTCAGTTCAAGTGTGTATTCTTTTCTTACTCTAGTCTAATTTGAAAGCAAATGTCAGAATAATATTCCCTAAAAGACATCATATTATTTTATCTTTGAAATTCTAATTTTTTTCCTATGTCTAAATTGAAGAAAAAATGATCTGTGTGGTTCCTCTTACTGATTTTTAATTTTACCTGTACTAAACTTCCTCAATTTAAGGCAAGGCAACCTCCTATGCATTATTTATTAAGCTACTTGAAAACAACTTTTTATCATTACATATTTCATTAACTTTAATTTACATCACAGCCTTTCTCCTCTCTCAACATGACTGCCATCAGGAAAATTGGGACAGTGAGAGAAGAATTAGAGAGAGATGGAGTTAAAGTTTTGTCTCAGCTTGATATCACAAGGCCACCCTGACTGTGGATGATTCTGCCTCCAAAGAAGCATGAAGTAAAGATTACCAGAAGAAAAAGTTCCTTATGTCATCACTTCCTTGCTCTCACAGACTGTTAAGTGATGGAGAAAAGTAAAGATTCACATTTCAGTGCCTATTTGTATTTTTGTACTACTGAGTTTGGAAACTAGTGGAGGTGATCTGTAAAAACAAGGGTACATCACCTTTTAAAAATATCTTCATATAACAGAGAAAAGTTAAAATCATTTGTGTAACAAAATAAAAAAATAAACATAGAGCAGATACCTGAGAACTGGGTCTTAGAAGAGAGACAAAGAAAGAGAAAAGAATGGTTGTACATGATGGCTGAGGAATGGCATTTTTTAGCACAATTGCCCATTTGTTGCTCATTTATTTTATTTCTGTGATGCTAAGTGTTTTGTCACTCCAAATCTGCCACACCTACCCCTATCTCATATGAATGATGTGTGTTTGTTTGAAAAACCAAGAAAAGGGTTGGGAGTCCACATTTGTCTCAATGTGAAGAAAACTGAAGCCATGCAAAAACTTGAGGGGGAAAGGTAAATCTAACAATGAGAGGAAGGACTTGCCAAATTGTTCATAAACATGTTATCTTCTGCCATAAAATAATCTAGTCTAACTCTCAAGGGCAGAGTAAACCTATATGATCCCACTTAAAGTAGAAAGTATTTCAATTGTTAATAGGTCTGTCATTCTCTCATAATGTTCAGTTGCGTTGTAACTATTCTTAATAGTTAACTTTCTACATAATATAACTACAATTGCAGTGTCCTATTGACTTATTTCTGCAGGCCAAATTCTAAAATTATATTTATATATATATTTGGTGAAATGTTTCTGTAGCTGGTTAATATTAAATTACTAATACTCGAGTGTAGAGTAGTGAAGTCTTACCTGAGGTTATGTTCATCCCAGGGGTGACCAAATCCCATGACCACTGAAGACAGGACTTAAAGGCCTGGCTACCTCTCCAACTCAGGATATAGCTGAAGCGTCATTCTAGTGTCAGTGCTCCCCCAGGGTTGGCCAAGGCTGTTGTTGGGTCTGCATTACAGCTCAACTTCCCCCACCTACTCTTCCTCCTCCCCCTGCGTTCTACAGATCTTGATCTTAAGTATATGCCTTAATAAATCCCCTTTATGCTAAACTCCATTTCAGAGAATTCCTCCCAGGAACCCAAACTGAGAGAAATGGGAACTTCTACTGTCTCTGACTAATAAATCATCAAATACAGTTTATTGACTGTAACTACATGAAGGTGGTACATAATTTTAAGAAGGAAGAGTTAGAGACCAAAGGGAAAAAAGTCATTCTCAGTAGAAAACAAAACAAGGAAATAATAGTGTAATCATATAGCTTATGCAGTAAGAAATTAGTCTCAGTGATGACCAGTATTTAAGGATCAGTATATAAAAGGGCAATACTTACCTTTTGCCTATTTACACTCCAAAATTTTCTATATAATTGTTGAATAGTATTCACCATATTTAGATGGTTCTAACCATATCTGAAAACATTATTTAACTGTCTAAGTTATACATCCAAGAAAAGTGTTGCAATTCTTATTATAGGATGAAAACTATTTGCAGTTTACTATACACCAAATAAGCAGAAGTAAATGCAACAAATACAAATGTTGTACTATCATTTGTAGTTGCTTCTCAGTTGTCCTATCATTTTGCACTTCCTGTTTCTTAAGGAACTGGTGACCTCGCTTAACAATGTATTCCCCCCAGTTTGCATTCTATTTTAGGGGCTCTGCTGATTAATTTATTTGGGTTCCTTACTGCATTTACATGCTCCATTCTTACATTTACACAATAGTTATAATAAGTTTCTCAAATTAGTGCTGTCAATTTTTTTTAATTTAACATACTGCTTAAGACAAGTCTAACAATTTATTTTTTACAGTCTAACAATTGAGTTCAAGTAACAGATAGTGGAAGGCTCACTACCTCAAATGTGACTATTCAACCACATTGAGCCTCTGTTTTAGTTGTAAACTCAAGCAGTCTCTCTTCTGCAGCAGCTCTCTTTTCCCTCGTCAGTCTACAGCCCATCTGTGTTTCTGTTTGGCTGTGTGGCTGCAATGGAAAATGGTTTAACTCCCACTTGTCAGGACTCCCTTCTGGCCTTATAAAAGCACTTTACTCATTGGGCTGGGTCAAGATATTTCCTGAATAAAAATATTAAATACTGTCCTCCTCCCACAATGTGTTATATAGCCTATGCGAAAGGTAGATGTAGCTTAGACGAATTACTCAACTGTCAATGACTATAGTGGACATTTACAAGAATGTGAATGCTTTCTGTAATAAACTGTCCAAATATAGTGGATTATCTTATCACATTTAGCATATTTATTTTTCTTAAAATAAACTATTAATTTGTTTTTAGATTAATGGCAGTATGTATCTCATAGACATTTATAGAATGTTCCTAAGTCTCTAATTTAAGCTACATTTTTAGCTTTAGTTTATATAACATGGAATTATATATATTAAAAAATGTAAGATTGATTTTTATGAATAAACTAGAAATCTATGCAAACTACTTTTCATATATACTGTTAGTATTTCATGGTTACTATTAATGTGTATTTTGATAAAAGTATGAAATAGCTAATATTTGTTGAGTCTTCACTATGTGTTGACTCTGTTGAGAGTTTCACAAACATTTTATTAATTTTCACCATAATTCTATGATGTATACATTAGTATTATCAGCAAAATAAACAGTATTGTTCAATAGAATTCTGTGATTCAAATATATAATTTAAAATTTCCATAGTTTTAAAAAGTAAAATGAAATCGGTGAAAATATTAGATTTTATTTCACCCAGTATATCCAAAATATTATCATTGCAACATGTTTAATATTTAATACTATTAATAAAATATTTTATATTATTTTAATAACAAATCTCTCAAAAGTGTATGTTTTATACTTAGAATACATTTCAATTTGCACCAGACTCATTTCAATAGCAACATGTGGCTAGTGGTTACTGTATTGGACAATGCAATTGTCCAGATTATAAACAGATTATAAACAGAATTATAAACAGAAGATGATTATAAAGAGAAGAAAGCCAAAGCTTATACAATTTAAGAAATTTACCCAAGATCACAAAATTAGAAGTAGAGGCAGACCTTAGGTTCATATCAAAGCTCTGACTCTTAAGTGTAGGGATATTAACCACTAAGAATAATGTACTGCCTTATTTTTAAAAATGACAAAATCCTTAGTGGTGTGGGTCTGGGTTAAAGTAAGTAGCTTTGTTTTAACTGCATCAGGGTATATTGGACTAACTGGTAGCACCAGAATGCCATTTGCACAGTTGATTGAAGACTTTCTTCCAAAATAACTCAGCTAAAGAGAATACAGCCAATTATAGTAAGCTAAAGAAATTAATATTCTAAAATTAAAAGATTTTGCATAAAACTGATTGTTTATTTGTATTTTTTCTATGAATTCAAGACTCAGTAACTCATGCTTGAGTCCTAAGTAGACAGATTGCCAAAAGTCAAAACTATAATCGGTTTTATTAAAATATTTGTGATGCCCAGGAACACAAACGGCTCTATTCTAGTACATAGCAGAGGAGAAATATATTTTCCCTTAAAATATCCTAGATCTTTGAGCATATTTAGCACTGTAAGTACTCTGGAATATCCAAAGAAGTAGTAGGTGATAAGTAAGTAAGAGACAGAAGTTAAACTTCGAAGAGTGGCTAATGATGCACATGGAAATAAAAATGTCATGCTTAACTATCAGCTCTATTCAGCACAGCATACCTTACAATATCCAATAAGTAGACATGGAGAATGGAAAACACTGCAAAAGAAGAGAATATACAATAGAAAGATGCTACTTTTTAGATGACAGTATGTTTATATATATATATATAAATATGGCATATGCTTACGTAATAGTAGTATGCCTTTGGGGGCAGATTACTTAAAACTCCAAGTCAAAATATCATATAACAGTGAGAAAATTCATGTAAGTGTCATGATCAGAAATAATGTTATTTGGATCCAGAGACCACTATATTTTCAGGACTGCAAATCCAGTACTCTGTGGCTTTCTTGGCTCTGCCCCACTACATAAGAAAGTTTTATTTTTAGGTTGGTTTCATGCATGGGAAGAATATTTGCCTGATTTTTTTAAAAACATTTTAGGTTCAGGGAGACACTTGCAGTTTTGTCACATGGGTAAATTGTGTGGCACTGAGGCTTGGTGTACAAATGACTCTGTCACCAAGTTAGTGAACATAGTACCCAATAGGTAGCCTTCCAAACCATGCTGCCTTCTCCAGCCTCTCCTGTTAAGCAATCCCCAGTGTGTTTTGTTCTTTTCTTCTTGTCCATGTGCATTTAGTATTTAGTTCCCACTTGTAAGTGAGAACCTGTGATATTTGGTTTTCTCTTCCTGTGTTAGTTCATTCAGAATAATGTCCTCTAGCTGCATCCATATTGTTGCAAAGAACATGATTTTTTTGTTTTTTTTTTTTTTATCTGGGTAGTATTTCATAGTGTATATATACCACATTTTCTTTATCCAGTGAACCTTAATGGGCATCTTGGTTGATTCCAGGTCTTTGCTATTGTTAATAGTGCTGGGAAAAACATATGAGTGCATGTGTCTTTTGGTAGAACAATTTATTTTCCTTTGGGTATATACCTATTAGTGGGATTGCTGGGTTGAATGGTAGTTCTGTTTTAGGTTCTCTGAGACATCTCTAGACTGATTTCTACAGTAGCTGAACTAATTTACATTTCCACTGGCAGTGTATAAGTGTTCCTTTTTCTCTATACCTTTGCTAGCATCTGTTGTTTTTCAGCTTATTAGTAATAGCCATTCTGACTTACGTGAAGTGGTATCTCATTGTGGTTTAATTTGCATTTCTCTAATGACTAGTGATGACGAGCATTTTTTCATATAGTCAGGTGCACATATATCTTCTTTTAAGAAGCATTTGTTCATGTCCTTTGCTCATTTTTTTAATAGATTTTTTCTTGCTGCTTTAAGGTCCTTAAAGATTCTGGATGTTAGAGTTTTCCTGGATGTATAGTTTGCAAATATTTTCTCCCATTCTGCAGGTTATCTGCTTACTCTGCTGATAGTTTATTTGGCTGTGCAGCAGCTGTTTAGTTCAGTTAGGTGCCACTGTCAATGCTTATTTTTGTTGCAATTGCTTTTGGGGACTTCATCATAAATTATTGGCCAAGGCTGATGTCCAGAATAGTATTTCCTCAGTTTTCTTCTAGAATTTTTATTGTTTTAGGCCTTACATTTAAGTCTTTAATCTATCTTGAGTTAATTTTTGCATATAATGAAAGAAAGTGTTCTAGTTTCAATCTTCTGCATATGGGTAGGCAGTTATCCCAGCATCATTTATTGAATAAAGACTCCATTACCCCTCGTTTGTTAGTGTTGACTTTGTCAAAGATCATTGTATGTATGTATGTGATGTTATTTCTGAGTTCTCTTTCCTGTTCCGTTAGTCTATGTGTCTGTTTTTTGAAGGCTTCTGGAACTGAGAAATGACTTCAGTAATTTTTCAGAATACAAAATCAATATGTGAAAAATATAATAGCATTTCTATACACCAGTAACATCCAAGCTCTGAATGTAATCAAGAATGCAATCTCATTTACGATAGCCACAAAAAGAATAAAACACCTAGTAATACAGCTTGTCAAGGAGGTGAAGATCTCTATAGTAAGAATTACAAAATACTGCTGAAAGAAGTCAGAGATGACACAAATACATGGAAAAACATTCCAGGCTCATGACTGGGAAAAATCAGTACTGTTAAAATGCCCACAGCAATTTACAGATTCAGTGATATATCTATCAAGCTACCAATGACATTTTTCACAGAATTAGAAAAAAACTTCTGAAATTCATAAGGAGCCAAAAAAGAGGCTGAATTGCAACGCAGTCCTAAGCAAAAAACAAAGCTGGAAGCATCACATTGCTGGACATGAAAGTATACTGAAAGGGTACAGTAACTAAAGACAGCATGGTACAGGTACAAAAACAGTTGCATACTTTCTGATACCTATCTGAGTGAGTGAGAGCATCTCTTCTGAAGCTTTTTTGAAAAATACTGACATTACTTCTAATTAAAACTTTTAAGATTATTCACCCGTTACTCTGAGACAAGGATATTCATTTGGAATTTCTCCTGGGTTTAGGGTGAGGTCAATACCACCCAATGTATGTCAAAGGCAACCATATATCTACCAGGCATGAGTACTCCCACAGATACTTGAGCAGTAATCCTCTTTAGGAGACATGAGACTGAATTAGTATTTAAAGCAGGACCTGATGCAGCAAAGATGACTTAAATTTTTAACTTCTGCTTGATGTGTTTCACATCTATTTATAATATTATATATATATATGTGTGTGTGTGTGTGTGTAATCTACATTACATATACATGGTTTTATGTATCTATAGTTTTATAAAAAATTTCAAATGTACAGAAAAATTGGAATAATTTTATAATGAATACCTGTACATATATAGATTTTATAATAAATATATTACTATGATTGATTTATTACATATTTATCAATCTATCAGTTGTTCTACTTTTAATTCATCATTTGGTATACTTTAAAGTTGTAGATGTCAGTGTACTTCAGCTTATATTTCAGAATGTATATTTTTAACCAAAGTTAAATATTTGTTTTGTATTTATTTTAGGTATAGTTTACATACATTAAATACATGCACTGTAAAAGCATTATTTTCTGTGTTTTGGCAAGTACATACATAACTATAATTCCTATCAAAATATCATGTATTACCCTTACCCTAGGTAGTCCCATTATGCCTCTTCCCAGTAGAGCTAAACTTACACTCCCCTAGAGACAACTACTCTTCTAATATTATCTACCACAGATTAGTTTTTACAGTTGTCAAATTCAGAGAATCATACACTATGTGTTATTTTGTGAAAGACTTCACCCAGCCTAATGTTGAGTGTATCCATTTTTTAATATCTTTTTATTGTTGAGTGGATATCATTTCTTTTTAGTCTTTCTCTACTGCTTTCAGGTATTTGAAAATATTTTGTCCACATTTTATGATTATTATTTGATGACAGCTTACAAAGCAATTTCCATATAAGCATAACTGCATTTACAGGTAGTCATATGTAATCACTGTCTTTTTGAGTTTTATTGTTTGTAGAGTTTTTTTTATTTGTTTTTCTAATAGGCATGTTGAATTTGACTCAGCTAATTTCGGCCTCTTGCCTGGTATATTTTGAGATTATGGGTTGGTATTAGTGATTTAACTGCATTGTCAAAACCATGATATGTTCTATGAAAAACTGACTGGTCCATAAATTTATTAAATTTATTATTTGTCCTTAATTAACACTATGCTACAACCAGTTGCGTGATATGAGGCTATTCT